AATAAATCATAAAAAGAAGGCAAGGAACTATCCTACCTCATGGAGATTAAAAGCCACACTACTGGAAGACCACTGGACTAACGAGGAGATCAAAGAAGAAATTAAAAAATTCTTTGAATTGAATGACAAGGAGGACACCAATATCCTAAATGTATGGGATGCAGCAAAAGCAGTAATAAGAGGAAAATATATAGCAATAGAAGCTCACATCAAAAAACAAGAAAGTACTCAAAGAAACAACCTAATCTCGAAGCTCAAAGATCTAGAAAAAGAACAACAAAAAAACCCCAAAACCAGTAGAAGAAAAGAAATAATAAAAACCAAAGCAGAAATAAATGAAATTGAAACTAAAAAAACAATCCAAAAGATCAATGAAACCAAGAGCTGGTTCTTTGAAAAAATAAATAAAATAGACAAACCCCTAGCCAGGCTCACAAAGGAAAAAAGGGAGAAAGCACAAATACACAGAATCATAAATGAAAGAGGAGAAATCACAACGGACACAGCAGAAATCAAAAGAATAATCAGTAACTACTATGAACAGTTATATGGAAACAAGTTCAACAATCTAGAGGAGATGGACAAATTCCTACAACTCTACAATCACCCAAAGCTAGATAAAGAAGAAATAGAACACCTAAACAGACCAATTACAAGCAGCAAAATTGAAATGGTAATTAAAAACCTCCCCAAAAACAAAAGCCCAGGACCTGATGGATTTACAAATGAATTCTACCAAACATTCAGAGACGAATTAGTGCCTATCCTTCACAAACTCTTCCAAAAAATTGAGAAGGAAGGGACAATACCAAACACGTTCTATGAAGCCAATATTACACTAATACCAAAACCGAATAAGGACAACACAAAAAAGGAAAACTATAGGCCAATCTCCCTAATGAACACTGATGCAAAAATCCTCAATAAAATTTTAGCTATCAGAATCCAACAATGTATCCATAAGATAATTCACCACGACCAAGGTGGATTCATTCCAGGGGCACAAGGATGGTTTAACATCCGAAAATCAATCAACGTTATCCAACACATCAACAAAAAGAAATATAAAAACCATATGATAATATCAATAGATGCTGAGAAAGCTTTCGACAAAGTGCAACACCCATTCATGATAAAAGCCCTTGAAATTCTTGGGATACAAGGATAAAAGCCCTTGAAATTCTTGGGATACAAGGAACATACCTCAACATCATAAAGGCCATCTATGACAAGCCAACAGCCAGTATCATTCTCAATGGTGAAAAGCTGAAAGCAATTCCATTAAGATCTGGAACAAGACAAGGATGTCCACTCTCACCACTGCTTTTCAGTATAATACTGGAAGTTCTAGCCAGAGCAATAAGACAAGAGAAAGACATCCAAGGAATCCAAATAGGAAAAGAAGAAGTCAAACTATCACTATTTGCAGATGATATGATAATATACATAGAGAACCCCAAAATCTCCACAGAAAAACTAATTCAGCTCATCAATCAATTCAGTAAAGTGGCAGGATACAAAATCAACACGCAAAAGTCAGTAGCCTTCCTATACACAAACAATAAATCTGAAGAAGAAGAAATCAAAAAAACCACCCCTTTTATTATCGAAACAAAAAAAATCAAATATTTGGCAATAAATCTAACAAAAGAGGTAAAGGACCTATACAAAGAAAACTATAAAACACTGTTAAAAGAAATAGAAGAAGACACAAAGAAATGGAAAGACATCCCCTGCTCATGGATTGGAAGAATAAACATTATTAAAATGGCCATCCTACCAAAAGCAATATACAGATTCATTGCTATTCCAATCAAAATCTCAATGGCATTCTTCAAAGAAATAGAACAATTATTGATGAAATTCATATGGAATCACCAAAAACCCCGAATAGCCAAAGCTCTACTGAAAAAAAAAGAAGGAAATGGAGGCATCACACTCCCAGACTTCAAACTATACTACAAAGCCATAATCATCAAAACTGCATGGTATTGGAACAAGAACAGACATATAGACCAATGGAATCAAATAGAAAATCCAGAAATAAACCCACAGATTTATGGTCAACTAATCTTTGACAAAGGAGCAAACACTATGCATTGGAGCAAAGAAAGTTTGTTCAATAAATGGTGCTGGGAAAACTGGGTCGCTACATGCAAAAGAATGAAGCTTGACCACTACCTCACACCATACACAAAAATCAACTCAAAATGGATTAAAGAACTAGACATAAGACCTGAAACCATAAAATACATAGAAGGAAATATAGGCGAAACACTACGGGATTTGCACATCAAAGACATCTTTACAGACACATCACCCAAAGCAGTGATAGTGAAAACAAAGATAAACAGCTGGGACTACATCAAATTAAAGAGCTTCTGCACAGCAAAAGAGACAATAACAAAAACAAAGAGAAACCCCACCAACTGGGAGAACATTTTTGCACCCAACACTAATGATAAAGGACTGATCACAAAAATCTGCAAAGAGCTGATGAGACTCAACAACAACAAAGAAAATAATCCAGTCAAAAAATGGGCAGAAGAGCTAAAAAGAAACGTCTCTGAAGAGGAAATGCAAATGGCCAACAGACATATGAAAAAATGTTCAACATCACTTGTAATCAGGGAAATGCAAATCAAAACTACCATGAGATACCATCTCACACCAGTGAGAATGGCACATATTAAAAAAACTAGCAACAACAAATGTTGGCGAGGATGTGGATAAAAAGGAACTCTTGTGCACTGTTGGTGGGAGTGCAAACTGGTCCAACCACTATGGAGAGCTGTGTGGAGATTTCTGGACCTACTAAACATAGAGCTTCCATATGATCCAGCAATTCCACTCCTAGGTATTTACCCAAAGGACACAGAAACATCAATTCCAAAGAGCACCTGCACCCCTATGTTTATAGCAGCACTGTTTACAATAGCTAAGCTTTGGAAACAACCCAAATGCCCAAAAATAGATGACTGGATCAAGAAGATGTGGTACATATATACCATGGAATATTACTCAGCATTCAAAAAAGATAAACACATGCAATTTGCAGCAACATGGATGGCACTGGAAGGGATCATGCTCAGTGAAATAAGCCAAAAAGAAAAAGAAAAATACCAGATGGTCTCACTCATAGCAGGAATCTAGAAAACTTAAATAAGGGACCAGGAAAATGGACATAAGAAAGTGAAAATCAAAATCAACAAAAAACTATGAACCAGAGACACTTTTGGGGGGGGGGGGCTGGAGGGGAAGGACTGGGGTCAGAATGGGGCGTTTGCAATTGTATGGGGGAATATAAAAATAAAATTTAATATTAAAAAAAAAAAAGAAATAGAAGAAGACACAAAGAAATGGAAAGACATACTCTGCTCATGGATTGGAGGAATAAACATTATTAAAATGGTCATCCTACCAAAAGCAATATACAGATTCAATGCTATTCCAATCAAAATTTCAATGTCATTTTACAAAGAAATAGAACAATTATTGATGAAATTCATATGGAATCACAAAAAACCCGAATAGCCAAAGCTCTCCTGAAAAAAAAAAAAGGAAATGGAGGCATTACACTCCCAGACTTCAAATTATACTACAAAGCCACAATCATCAAAACTGCATGGTATTGGAACAAGAACAGACATACACACCAATGGAATCAAATAGAAAATCCAGAAATAAACCCACAGATTTATGGTCAACTAATCTTTGACAAAGGAGCAAAGACTATGCATTGGAACAAAGAAAGTTTGTTCAATAAATGGTGCTGGGAAAACTGGGTCGCTACATGCAAAAGAATGAAGCTTGACCACTACCTCACACCATACACAAAAATCAACTCAAAATGGATTAAAGAACTAGACATAAGACCTGAAACGATAAAATACATAGAAGGAAATATAGGCGAAACACTACCTGATTTGCACATCAAAGACATCTTTACAGACACATCACCCAAAGCAGTGATAGTGAAGGCAAAGATAAAACAGCTGGGACTACATCAAATTAAAGAGCTTCTGCACAGCAAAAGAGACAATAGCAAAAACAAAGAGAAACCCCACCAACTGGGAGAACATATTTGTACACAACACTAATGATAAAGGACTGATCACAAAAATCTGCAAAGAGCTGATGAGACTCAACAACAACAAAGAAAATAATCCAGTCAAAAAATGGGCAGAAGAGCTAAAAAGAAACTTCTCTGAAGAGGAAATGCAAATGGCCAACAGGCATATGAAAAAATGTTCAACATCACTTGTAATCAGGGAAATGCAAATCAAAACTACCATGAATTACCATCTCACACCAGTGAGAATGGCACATATTAAAAAAACTAGCAACAACAAATGCTGGCGTGGGTGTAGAGAAAAAGGAACTCTTCTGCACTGTTGGTGGGAGTGCAAACTGGTCTAACCACTATGGAGAGCTGTGTGGAGATTTCTGGACCTACTAAACATAGAGCTTCCATACAATTCAGCAATTCCACTCCTAGGTATTTACCCAAAGGACACAGACACATCAATTCCAAAGAGCACCTGCACCCCTATGTTTATAGCAGCACTATTTACAATAGCTAAGCTTTGGAAACAGCCCAGATGCCCAAAAATAGATGACTGTATCAAGAAGATGTGGTACATATATACCATGGAATACTACTCAGCATTTAAAAAACATAAACACATGCAATTTGCAGCAACATGGATGGCACTGGAAGGGATCATGCTCAGCGAAATAAGCCAGAAAGAAAAAAGAAAAATACCGGATGGTCTCACTCATAGCAGGAATCTAGAAAACTAAATAAGGGACCAGGAAAGTGAATAACTGTAAGAAAGTGAAAATCAAAATCAACAAAAAACTATGAACCAGTGACACTTTTTGGGGGGTGGGGGGCAGGAGGGGAGGGACTGGGGTCAGAATGGGGGGGTTGAAATTGTATGGGGAATATAAAAATAAAATTTATTATTATTTTAAAAAAAATAAAATGTAAAATACAGGAGGCGGATCTACATGGCGGCAAGGAAACAGTGCGAGTAAGATCTCCCATTAAAAAAAAAGTTAATAGGGAGGAAAATCAGCAGGTCCCAGGGAGCAATGGGACACGGAAGATAAACGGGTGACTCCAGTAAACTACCTGAAGAAGAAAGTTGCCATAAAAGAGGACTAGAAGGGAGGAAAGCTCAGAACCCTGCTCCCCTTCCCCAACCACAATGTCGGCACTCTCCGACCAACAGAAAGGAGGAAAAAACAAACTACGCATCAAGCGGGACTGTGAGTGGAAAGGAACTATTTCAGCCACCACATGCTGCACCTCCCCCTGCCGTGACCTTCAGGCTAAAGGCTGTTGCCATGGTCCCTGAGGTCAAGCATGGGCAAGAAACCACAGGTGCAGGGGAAGAACAGCAAACTCCCTAAGGCATAGATAAGCCAGCTGGATGCCTGTTAAGAGATAACGACCACCAAAACCTGCCACAGGCTTGTTAAGAAGGAACGCTGACCACAGGGAACCTTATTTCGCTTTCTCAAGGCCCACAAACTTTATTCTACTACAACTGTCTTTCTCAAATATTTTCTTTTTCCCGGTCTAAAAATGTCATTGGTTGCTTATTAAAAAACATATGTAATTTAATAAGTAGGCTAACTGAAATGAAACATTACAAAACTCTGTGTAATAATAGAATGGTTAGTAATTTCTAGGTTATATGCTCAGCTTTGATAGCTTTGATGTTAATAAAAAAGCATTGCATTATAAGAAGTAAAATTCACCTATAATAATCAATAATTAAAAATAAGTTAGTGGTAGTGAGTAGTTATTAAAACAAAAATGTAATTACTTAGAACAAAAGAAAGAATTAATAGCCTGTCTACTCAGGAATGTAGCTAGGTCCAGATGTGATTCCGGACATAGATCACTGCCCTGTCAATGATAAGCTAAACCTATGAGCAAGCTGGTATAGTTCACTGATAACCAATCCTATGCCTTTAGAAAAACATATATATACTGACCACTGACTCAAATAAAGACACACTCAGATTTTCACTCTCTTGAAGTGTGTCTGTGTGTCATTCATTCGCCCAAGCCTTGACCACTCTGTGCAATCTCTCAACCCTGAGACGGCCTCATTATCCACTGCTGTGCTGGTCCGCGGCAAGTGGCGCCCGATCGTGGGGCCCGACTTCGAATTTTGCTTAATTTCCACCTAAATGGAGAGGTGAGTAGCGAAGAGATTGCGTTGGGTAAGCTATCTCCCTTCTAGTGTGTGAGTGTGAATGTGAGTCCCCTTGAAAACCCCTTCTTTCTAAAAACAGTCAAGGATAGGATCCTCACTGGAGCGTACGGAGCTAGCTGATAAAGGGTGATCAGTTTGAGACAGTGAGAAGTTTTTCTAAGTGTGAAAGTATACTCGTGGTTCTGTGTGTGTGTGTGTGTGTGTGTGTGTGAGTGCATGACTACGGCTCCATGGCCTTTATGGCTACGGAGTCTGAGTGAGCTGCACCCGTGATTCCCGTGGAGGAACTTCATATGGCATAACGGTCATCTGCTCTTCGGAGTAGCCTGGTCCGGGATTTATATGGACGGACCTTAGCTAAGAAGCCTCCACAAGCTCCCGCGAGGGACACGGGCCGGACAGCACAGTTGAAAGAAAACTCTGGTTGAGTGAACCACGAGGCCATAGGTCAATTACAGACCAAAACCAGAGATCTTTTTCTATCTATACTAAGAAATATGATTGAAGCACGCAGTATTAAAGTAAGTAAAAAAGCTTTGCTGCAACTTTATGAATTCATATTACGGGTATGCCCGTGGTTTCCAGAAGAAGGCAGTTTATCACTAGAAACCTGGAAAAAGGTAGGGAAAGAAGTAAAAGATTTCTATGCCCTTCATGGACCGTCTCAAGTCCCGACTCAGGCACTGTCCTTGTGGATACAGATTAGGGATCTGCTGGTTGATGCCACTGAGGCAGAATTATGGGAAAGTCAACACAAGGATGAGGCTCAGGATGTTCATACTATGAACAAAGACATAGAAAAAAACCCACTAATTGCTCAAGCCTCCGCTCCCATACTGAAAGAATCCCTTTCCCAATTGGAGGATGAGCTTAGTGATCATGAGTACACTGAAATGTTAGACAGATTAACTTTCAAAAACAAAAAGCCCTCCTGCCCAGCCACCAATCTTTTTCCAGTCATTACTAAACCTAAAACTACATCACATAAAAATCTTGTTCATGAAAGTACCCTCCGAGGGCTACTAGGTGGCATTCTAGGATCAGCCAGAGAGGCTAGTAAAACTGGAGATATTTCATTTGTCTTTCCCGTGGTCGGACCCCGGGCTTTGGCTCATGCTGACGAAGAGGGCCCTTAATGGGAGGCTATCCCTATAAAAGCTCGTCCGGGATCTCACAAGATTTAAGGTAAGTCAGCCGAGAGGCACAAATTGTTTCTATCTTCAGCTTGTCCTAAACTACTCTCGCTAAACATTATCTTTCTCTCGGAGCCATCAAAGAGGCCATAAAAAGGGCACAGGACAGTCAGTAAATGACAAAGGGTAACTGCCTTAAAGACTCCTGTGAAAGGATAAACTGGTGACCAGACCAGGTAAGGGGACTAGCCCATCTGCCAGTCAAAGAATAAAAGTCTGGTGTCGTCGTATGAGGGACTCCGGTCTCTGAAGAGCTAGGCACATATGTCATGTAGAGGCCGTCTGGGAGCTGCACATAAGGGGCTGATCTCCCAACAGCTCGGTCCATCCTCCCTTGACTTCAGCAGAGGGAGAGCTGCCGAGACCCAGCAGAGGATGAATGGTCCCAATGTGACAGTTGGGAAAGTCATTCCTCACTAAGCACCACACAGGATCTGATACAGAACCCCATCCTGGTCTCAGATCCCTGTTAGGATTATTTGGATGGGTCCATATCTTTCCTTGCGCGCGCGCTCTCTCTCTCTCTCTCTCTCTCTCTCTCTCTCTCTCTCTCTCTCTCTCTCTTTCTCTCTCTCCCCTCCCTATTCTTCCTTCTCCTGCAATGCAACTGATTTTACTACTCGGTTATCTGTGGGCTTCAGACAGGCAGTAGATATTTCACAAACTTTTTCTCTGTCCTTTATTTGATTGCAAAAAATTAATGGGCACCCGTCGGCCCGGTAAAAGCGACTAGCATGAGGCCGCCATTCTTAAAGTCTCGGGTGACAGGTTTCTCAGCTGGCAAGGCTTCCTGATCCCCCACTTGCTGAGTGGGAATGTCGGGATTCTCTTGTCACTGATTCCTACTTTCCTCTATCATCCGTGGACTCCGAGGGTGCTCAGAACGACCAAGCTGTGACCCTTGGAATCCTGGACATCCAGGAGATCCGATGGCTCAGACAAGGCGTTCTGCTAGGTCGGCACCTAGGCGAGAGTCATGGAGGCCTAACAAGGAAAAAAAAAAAAAAGGACTTCTTAATCCCTCCCCTATAAATAGGATGGACTTCTTTCAGCTTCTATCAAGGCAACTTACAAACATAAGGTACAAAATGGTCTTATAAAAATCTTGGGACACCCCTGGGAGCCTCTTCCCTGGTGTCTGTTTTAATCCTGCTGGTTGGCACAGGCAGGAGAGGCTGAGTTTCATATTATGACAGCGATGTATGTACAGTTTTGCCTCAAATCCTAGGTCCAGCTAATTAATTATACCTTTGGTATTATAAATTTGTCTCATGGCAGTTTTCCAAAAGGGAGTTTAAGACAAGTAAATATCAGGTTCTGGGCTACTGCCGCTTCAAGGGCTATGGCTTAAGAAAAAGAAATCAGTTTTGTTGTCTGCTAAATGGACATCATTAAAAGTTAGGTTGCAGGACTCGGTCTGTGGCTTGTGTTGAGTCTCTACTGTTCAGGTGTGTTCAGGGTACAAGGAGAGTAGAATGTAAACCCTTTTGTACAAGGACTGGATAGGGGACGCCAGTAGGATCCCACAAAGCTTCGGCACCCCACGCCTGTCTGTTCGGTGGGAGACGGACAGTGCTAAGATCAAATTGGTCACTGGTAAGGGTGGGATTAAGTCCAGTAGACCTTATGTGAGGAAACTGTTAATCACTCACAGAGCTCCAAATTTAAATGGAGGGATGCCTCCGGTAAAAGGGAGAAGTGGATTTAAAATTGGGTTCAATTTGACCCTAAATCCATAATTTAACCTGTCTATAGGTTTTAATTTGGCCTATTATAGGTTTTCTCCGCCCTTGGGGAAAGAAGCAGGTGTTGGACACCCGCTTTCATTCCTTTTTTGCAGATGGGAGCCTCCTCGTCAGCCTTGCAAAAGGGGCACACATCTCTCCTGCATCCTAGAGTTAAGAAAAATTTTCAGGAGTAATTGTCTCCTATCTCACCTGTTGCGTCTCTTAGTCAGTCACTTAGACCCAAGTCTCGACATCTCTCCTGCATCCTAGAGCTGAGAGCCAGTCGCGAGGCCATAATATATGTTCCTGGTCGGATGGGATGACCTCTGACTTAACTGCAGGAATGTCCCAGCTTTGTCTCTGCACTGCTATTTTCTTTTCTTGCTACAGAGACCATAAAATGCTCTCTCTCAATTCCATGGGACATGCCCTTAAGCCACATTCTTAAAAACTAGCCCAATTTGGCCATAAATGGCATCTTCTCCAGCTAACCCTCCTTGGTCACAGTCAAGACAAAAAAAGACAAAATGCTGGGGACTAATAATTAAAGGGGTCCACTACAGCTGGCTGGTAAAAAAAAAAGACTGCCTTTGCTCTCAATAAGCAGCTGCCTGGATTATTTTTTCCAGTGTTGAGATTATTGGTATGTCTCCGCTGCCTTCCAGTTGCGGGGGAACTAGACTCTCCCTTTGTCCACCTTGAAAAACTAGGGAAAAAGTTCTATTTTCCTGTGTTTTTCTGATTTTAAAGTCTAAATTGTTAAAGGTAAAAACTGCTGAGTTACTTTGGACTTGCTAACGAGCTATAAAAAGGTGATTTTTGGTTAAGTGACAACTTCTAAACTGCTTATTGGACCTGTAAAAGTTTAGTTTCTTATTAAGACTAA